TAAATTCTAATAAATATGGTTATATGTAAATTTGCAATGTTAATAAGAAATTATTACAGGGTAGTTAAATATTACACCTAAATATTTATCAGCTGGTTTTTCTTTCATTCATTTATTCAACAACTGTGTGGCAAGCTCTGGTCTAGGTGCTGGGGACACAGAAGTGAACAAGAAAGAAAAAAATTCTGCTCTAGTTTACTGTGAAGACAGGAAATAAAAACGTAAAATAATAAATTCATAACAATGTCATATGGTAATCGGTACTATGCATATGCAGGAAACATATGGGGGTGCATTGCTATTTAGATAAGTTGTCAAGGAATATTCTTTAAGGAGGTGACATTTGTGCAGAGATATGCATAATGAGAGGGAGCCAGACATGAGAAGTTCAGGGGAAAGAGTACTTCAGGCAGAAGGAATAGTCATTGCCAAGGCTGTGAGGCAGGAATATGCTTGGCATGTTTAAGGAACCAAAGGGGGCAAATTTGGCTGGAATGGAGTAAGTAAGGAGGAGAGTACCAGGAGATGAGGCAGAAGCATTCAGAAGGAGCCTGGAGCCGGTGGGAACCAGTTTACATTTTATTTTGAGTATAGTTGGGAGCCACTAGAGGGTTTTAAGATGGGGAAGAAAATGATTTGTTTTACTGAAGAAGAGAAAACCACCTTGGCTGCTTTATGGATATAATATATGGTAGAAGGATGGAACTGGAAGCAGAGAGACTAGTTAAGGAGTTTCTTGCAGTAGATTAGTTGAAAGATTATGGTAATTTGTGAAAACATTATCACCCATTCTTCTAGAAACAGGGCAGAATTAAACTAGAAACAGGGCAGAATTAAACTATTTTTTAGTAAGTCTTCAGTAAAGTTTGGGGCCTAGAAATAATTTAGAAAATGAGTGTAATGCATGGTTTTGAATATTTAACTATGTGTGGTATCCAGATATGCCATAATCTCGATTTTGAGCTTTTGCACATGCTCTGCTATCTGTAATGTCATTCTGCTCTCATTATACTAATTTATGCTCATCGTTGAAGTCTCATCTCTAAGACCCATTTTTCAACAAGCCTGCCCTAAAGTCTCCCAAGACTGGGCCATGTGTCCATCCCATAAACTCCCATTTGCATCCAGGTTTATGCATTTTACAGCTTGTAATGGTATATATTTTAATTGCCAGTTTACTCATCTGTTTTTCCCACTAGAGTATAAGCTCCTAAATGCAGGGACTGTGTCTTATTTACTCATCTTACTCTTTGCACTTAGATTAGACAATTGATAAACATCAATGTTTAATCATGTACTTCTTAAATATATCTGAGTTGACTGATTTCTTAGATTATGTCTGTGCCCAAAATTATTTCATCAAGAGAGTAGAGTAGTTAAGTTTCCTTAACTCTGCGACATGTACTCAGTGGAATATCTGTGTTCAATATCTCTTTTATTTATTTTTTAAATCTTTATTTATTTATTTTTAGCTCCCGCTTATGAGTGAGGACATGTGGTATTTCTCTTTCTGTGCCTGGATTATTTCACTTCACGTACTTTTCTGTAAGTTCATCCATATTGCTGCAAATGGCAGAATTTCATTCTTTTTTATGGCAAAGTATTCCATTGTGTATATATACCACATTTTCTTTATCCAGTTGTCTGTCAATGGACATTTAGGTTGGTTCCAACTCTTGGCTATTATAAATAGAGCTGCATTGTAGATTCTTATGCCAACTTCAGTGGGCATAAGAATCACCTGGAAAGCATGTTAAAACCAGATTCTTGGACTCCACCTGCAGAGTTCCTGTGTCTGTAGGTCTGGGAATTTGATTTTCTAAAAAATTCTCAGGTGCTGCTGGTGCTGCTGGTTCATAGACCACTCTTTAAATAGGAAAGAGTCTGTGTGTTTCCAGTTTCTGCTTACTTCAGTTGCATGTATATACAACTATATAATGGTTTCTCTTTTCATAATGCTAGTGTACGGGGCTGTTCACTGTTGAGAAATTCAGAGGGGTGTATGC